GTAATTCATTATTTTTCTTTGATTCTATTCTCCTTTTTGTAATTGCTATTTATTGTGGTGTGATGAAATCATGCAGGATGCAAATACAAGTATGATTGTTCGTGTTCAACCTGCATGGAGGGTGCTGCGGGACTTCATACGTGAGAGCGAACACAAAATGCGTTTTATGGTATTCGTCTGCACGACTACGGAGAGGGAGTATGCGTTGCTGATGTGGAGAATATTAGATCCTGATTCACGTCTTATCCATGCGGCTGAGGTGGCAGACGGAGTGATTTGTGTGGGAAGGGGTGTCAAGAAGTCGATTGAACAAGTTGTATCTCGTGCCAGTTGCCTCTCAAACTACACCCTCGTACTCGATGATTGTATGGATGCGTGGCTCAGTGACGACCACGATCGAGTACACTCTGTTTATCCTTTTTTTCCCTATGAGATTCACTCTAAGTTTGACATTTTACTTTGACCTAATGAGCATAATTAACATTTTTTTTATTATTATGTAGCTCAATCATTAATAAATTTGTGTGCTTTCTTACAGACTCCCGGAACTTGTACTGGCTAGAAACATTATATCAAGAGTGAGAGAAACCTTCTACAAGTAAATTTTCCCTTGTAATTTACTTTTTAAAATCATATTGTACTTTTTTTGTTGGAAGCTAACTTACATAAGGTACATTCTCCCGATGTGCAGTAAAGTCAATAAGGTAGAACAGAGGTTTGATGAAATCATGTATAAACATGATTTTGGAGAGCTTTCATATGAGCCATTTAGATAGTGGAAAGAAGGGTGATGTGTAGTCCTAGTCTTTGGTTATTCTTGAAAAAAGACAAATACAACCACAGATCTGAAAAAATGAATCATTCGAGAAAAAAGACGAGACACAAGAGCGGGAGCACAAGATGACGCAAAAAGCTCGAGTCGGGTATGAGTTCCAGTTTGATTCGGATGTGAAACTCAAGCTTGAGAAGATGAGTGTATCCACACTCATTAGGCATCCTCATGCTCGATCGTGTATTTTCCGATTCCTTAACACCATTTTGCATCTTGAGGATGCAATAGAATAACTATAAGGAAGGGTACACTGATGCAGTTGAGGTCATGACGAAGCAAGTTGAAGGCATGAGGAAGCAGCACTCGAACATGGACTTCAGTTTTTTGTTGAATCAATAGAGTGATTCTCACATTGACTTTTATGAAACTGTAAAGGAAAGGAATGAAACTTGAAAAAAAAAAATAGATCTCTCTCTATTAACTTCTTGACTTTTGTTCATATTTTTGTGGTTTACCTTTAACTTATGCCTCAATCTTACTCGTGTCGTCGGTGACTCTAGCCATGAGCTCATCAACCTTCGAGAACTTGAGCTTGAGGACAACTATCAACTCCTTTGCTTTGCTCACCCTGATATTGCGACTCTTTTTCTCATCCTCGATCCCAGATATAGCAACCCATAGGTCCTCCACTCTCCCTTGAAAGGTATGTCTATTGTTCAACATGCTTGGAATCTTTTGCTCGAATCTTTTGCAGGTCCTCTGTCTCCTCAAGATGGTATGGGCCATCAATGTGTGGGCCAGGTACTCAATACTCCAGCCTTCTATCATCGAGTCAATTTTTTGCCAGGTTTCTTCAACCTTTGCAGTCGCTCATAGTCGCTCATTTCTGATAGACAT